AAGTTTTCAATAGAGTAGGTAGTCTGCGAGTCGACGTTCACGTAGAAGCCCGACTTGATGATGGAGCCCACCTTGTCATTGTTCACCTTCAGCAGCAGCGTCCCGTACACCACGTTGAAGTGCGTCACGTAGTTGCCCGTCTTGGTGGGCACCTTCTTCGCGCGCGGATTGAACTTCAGCTTGCCCAGGGCGATCTTGTCCTCCCGCTTGGTCATCACCGTGAAGACGCCCTGGCTGTTCTTGCTCTCCGTAAAGTCCAGCTCGGCAAAGGCGCGAACGTGCTCCGGATCGGCACGGGAGGAGTCAGCAGTGGCGTTGGCGAGCTTCTTCTTGTGAATCGACAAGTTGAGGATGTTCTCCATCTTTTGTGCTGCAGACTGAGGGGGTGGTGGCAGAAAAAGCAAAGTGATTAGTCGTTTATTGACAGTTTTGATCATCAGTTTCCCCTACTTACCACTTCAGCCTCTTTGCCCTTGCTCTTTCTACTCTTGGCAGCAGCCGACGCCGTCCGCTTTCTGCCGATCCGCGTAGGCTCAATCCGCCGGACCGAGGAGACGCCCACCAGCGTGGACACACAGTTGCCGTCCTTGGTGATGCTCTTCTGGTAGAGTGGTCGCTCTCCGGCCCAGTAATTGACCGGCCTCACTCGATTTCGCTTCGACCGGCGACAGTCGAAGGTGGTGTCAGAGGGGCGGATCACCGCACTGTGCTCATCGAGGTGCTTCGCAATGCGTCGCTTCAGCGAGTCCTTGCTGTGCTTGGGCCGACGACTTGAGCTGCCGCCACGGGGCAAAGGTTTCGCCTCTTCCTCCTCCTCTTCTTCGAGTTCGCTCTCTTCCTCCTGCTCCTCGTCCGAATGGTTGTCAGAGTGGCTGGAAGCACTCGCCGGTGACATCGGACGATGATGATCATGATGATCATGATGATCCTCCTCATCCTCCTCCTCTTCATGCTCTTCCTCCTCCTCTTCAGCAGGGTCCTCCACTGGGCTGCTGTAGACTGGCGACTGATAGCCACTGTTGTGGTGGTGGTGATGGTGATCATCCTCCTCCTCCTCATCAGACGAGTCGGACATGACAGCAGACTTTCGGGCAGACTTTGCCTTCAGGTTGAGTCGAGAAGATGAGCCACTGAGCGAGGAGGGTCGGCTAAGCGAACTCTTGTACGAGGAAGGCGGCATTCTGCTCTCCTGCTGCTGCAATTCATCATCATCGTCATCGGCCTGTTGGTAAATAAACGGAAAAGAACAATGTTAGAATAGGTCAATATCGAACTTCGACTTTGCATAAATTCTTACCTCTGCATAAATGCCAAAAAAGTCCTCTGGCCGAGGAGTGACCTCTTCGTGGACAAACTTTTCCTCTCTTGAAAAGCTGTCCGAACTGTCCTGAACACGGACAATGTTTGTCGTGAGCGGAAGCGGCGAAGAGGCAGTGTTCTCCGACAGGTAGCCCGAGTTCACCAGACCTGCTTTGGTGGCTCTTGAAGCATTTGGTTTGATTACACTTTCTTCCTCCTCCTCCTCCTCCTCCTCCTCCTCCTCTGCTTCATCTTCATCGTCATCATCATCTGAAGAGCTGCTGCTGCTCTCCTCTTCGCTGTCATCGGTCAGATAGCCAGAGTTCACCAGAGTTCGCCTGGCAGCAGCAGCAGCCTTGTTGCCGGTTTCCTCCACCTCTTCCTGCTGCTGCTCCTCCTCCTCATCGCTATCATCGGTCAGGTAGCCAGAGTTTACGAGAGTTCGCCTTGCAGCAGCAGCAGCAGCCTTGTTGCCGGTGACCTCCGCCTCTTCCTCCTCATCAGATGAGACGCTCTGGTTGTCCTCCTCCTCCTCCTCCTCTTCGGCTGAGACACTTTGGCCGTCCTCCCCTTCTTCCTCCTCTTCATCAGATGAGCTTCCCTCCTCCTCCTCCTCCTCCTTCTTCTCCTGCTCGTCTTCAGACAGCAAGTCATCAGGATGACTGCTTACNGACAGCAAGTCATCAGGATGACTGCTTACATCGTGAGCACTGTTGTCATCAGCCAGCCCGTTGTTGAACGACGGCATTGTTTCGTCATAATCGACCAGCGTAGTAGCGTGCTTGACTCGATTTTTGCTGACATTAACCGTGTTCTCCAGTTGAACCGCAGGCTGCTCTTGGACAACGGTACTGGAGGTGACGTTCTTCCGTGTGCTCTCTTGCACCTCCTCATACGGCCGATTAACGTTAGTTTTCGGCGA